TTAGTTGGGTTCGTGTTAAATCATTATTTTGATTACTTTAATGGATTTATCCATTTATCACATAAACTATGACCAAATATAACAATATTTTTAATTATGTGTCGATTTCATGTTGGATTTACAAGCCGTTAATGTGATTGTATAAAAAATGTTGTCCCTGTTAGTTACATGGGAGATTCGTTCCAATTACCCTATATATTGAAGAGGTACATATTATTTATAAATGAGTCTTATACTTTTATTAGTTTATATAATGGATAACCTGCCACCCATTGCTACTAATTCCCTCTCTAGGGAGAAGCCAGCCAAGTAAATGGAAGTATATTACACAAAATATGCCCCCCCCCCCCCCCCCCTTTCTCTCTCTCTATGTGTGTCTATGTGTCAAGGAGAATTTGCGAAGTTTCATATAGCAACTAGGGATATTGTCAAAGGTGTTTTGGCTCTTTATATCAATGGACCTCATTTGCTCAACTATATATATATTTTGTTGAAAGATTGTATTGTGACGAATACATCATTCGGAAAAGTCTCTCGAATTTGAAAGAAGTAAATGGATTCCGTTGGATCACTTGAACTCGGTCCAGAGTCCACAAATACTACTGACAAAGCATGCGAAACGGTCACTGCAACAAGAAATAAGAGTAACTTGAAGAAAACTTTTTTGGCTTGCATTGGCTGCCATGAATATTTCTCTCTAGAGGTAAGAGAAATTCATCAATTCTTTCTTCTTTTTTTTTGCTAAATAATAAGGAGGTGAGGGGACTAGTCTCGACGTTACCATGAGAATTTTTCATTGTAAAATGCCGATTTGAGTCGTACTTACTAACCCAAAAGAACAATTTGTCACCACAATACTACTAAAGTCAAATAACAAACCGTATTACTCTTGTAAATTGAATCTTACTTAATAATCACATGAAAGTCAAAGAAGATTATAATTGGGTACGATTTACCAATAGACCACTGGCTCATAGAAAATCATCGTGTTTGTAATTATCATAATTCCACCCGCATAGCGTTTAATCCTTTGATTTTACATAGACAAAATGTTACACATTCACCTCCTTTTAGAAATTTCGTATTCAAATTTTCGCCACCTAGTGAGCCAAATGCTTCCGTTGTGCATTCCATATAGAAATACTAGAGCACTAATACGGTTTGAATTTCCTATACCAATAGGGTATGCTTTCAATTCACGTGCTTTGCTTCCTATACCAATAGGGTATGCTTTCAATTCACGTGCTTTTGCACGTCTTTTAGGGCACTAATAGATATGAATTTCCTGCTTTGCCCTTCAGTATTTTGCCACGTGATGGACACGTGCTAGTGTTTCTGTTAAATGTCTGATGACAATTATCAATTGGGGCAATGTGAAACAGCAATATTAGCTTGGGGTGCAATATGAGAAAACTGGTAGCTTAGGGTGAAAATGAAAAACGGGTGATAGTTCAGGTGGTGTAAATGTAATTTATCTTTTTTATAATTATCATTAGAAATTGCTTCTTCAGATGTGGAGAGCAGCACTCACGGAGTTGGTGGCAACCGCGACCCTTATGTTCACTCTCACTGCCTCCATCATCGCATGCTTAGATTCCCATGAGCTCGACCCAAAGCTTGTCGTTCCATTCATTGTCTTCATCATCGCCTTCTTCTTGCTCATGGTCACCGTACCTCTATCTGGAGGCCACATGAATCCGACCATATCTTTCATCGCCGCCCTAAAAGGTGTCATAACTTTTGCTCGTGCTTCGATCTACATTTTGGCACAATGCATCGGATCAATCATAGGCTTTCTTATAATCAAGACTGTAATGAGCCATCAAATAGCTACAAGGTACGTTTTAGGCGGTTGTGCCATCGATAGTAATGGACGATCATCGGGACTAAGCCCGGGCATTGCATTGGTACTAGAGTTTTCGTGCACGTTTCTACTACTCTTGATCGGCATAACACCGGCATTTGACAAGAGAAGTTTCAAGGAATTAGGGTTAGCCATGGTTTGTGCATTGATAGCGGGGGCTCTTGCACTGGCTGTGTTTGTGTCCATAACAATAACTGGGCGGGCTGGCTATGCGGGCGTGGGCCTGAACCCAGCAAGGTGCTTAGGCTCAGCTTTGTTGCAAGGTGGGCCGCTGTGGGATGGACATTGGATATTCTGGGTTGGGCCCTTTCTTGCTTGCATTGTTTATTATGGTGTCCCTATGAACTTACCAAGGGAAGTTCTAGTGGGTTGAGGAACAGATTGACTTTCTGAGCTTGGCTGGGGCTTGTTTGGGAGATGACACCCCAATTTCCATTCGACTGAAGAATAATGCAATTGACTGAAGTGTAAAATAAGGATCCTCTTTAAAGGACTAATTGAAGTGTAAAATAAGGATCCTATCTAAACTTGTCCTTTAACTTGGGAGAAAGTCAAACTCTCGGAATAATAAATCAATCATAAAAAGAAATTAAAAAAAATGTATTGGTGAAGATATGAATCCAATAATAGTTCTTAATAAAATTCTTTTTTTTCTTTTCTATCGGGTAACAACTAGTATTCAAGATGCTATGCTCGGTTAAACTTTATTCATCGAAGTAACTGAGTTTCTAAATTGTATACTGGACGTGCTTCCCGGCTATATTGTACAAATGCAGAGGAAAAAATATCAAGGCTAAAGAACATAACCACCTTGAAGTTGCAGCCAAGTAATTAGCAAAAGCTTCTAGCACACAGAGGTTACAAGAACTAGACAGTGCATTACTTTAACACTAGTAACTTCATTGATCAAACACTTAATATGCCTTGTTATTAATGGTTTCTCTTCATATGCAACACTTTACAATTTACGCAACGTTATCAGAAGATGGCTGCAACAGTGTGGAAGAAGTGGCAAGCGGCTCATGTACCACTGAATTTGTAGAAACTGAAATAGGATTGTCCTCCAATTCCAGCATGATGCTCCACAGTATTTCGGTCAATATCTTCTTGAACTCATCTTCTTTAACCAACTTCCCATCATCAGCGTCGAACACTTTGAAGACTTCAGTAACTACCCTGTCCACCTGTAGTGAATTTGGAATTGAACATCAGCAACAAGAGACTAGGAGTCTAGGACTGGCACAAGTAATGTCTTCATAAACGAAAACTAATCCAGCTAGCAGTCAGTTAGACCTTTGGTTGCAACACCAAGAAACTCACTGGTTTGACTCTTCTCTAATCTAAGATGAATGAACAGCCTAAACCAGTGCACTTCCCATATCCATTTCCATTGTCTACTCTGAATTCCTCATTCTCTTTCCTAGCAGCATTACACATCAATATTACTAATTCTGTACAGAAAAATGACGATAAGTGGGTTTTCCATTACATGACAATTGACCCTACACCTTTTTCGAAAATTCGTCTGAATAATCATAGGGGAACTTCTTGCTGGCTTTTAACAAATGAAAGGCAAAGATCAGATGCTAATGAGACTTGAGTGTAAGGAATTACTTCAATTATTAAATAACATATACCAGATAAACTGCACCTAATGGAGGTAAGCCAGCTGATGGGGCCACTACATCAAGCGCCACTCGCAGATATTCCTTCGACATTTTCCCAGTGTGATCTTTAGGCGCATCTTTTAAAGCAGCATCCAGTGTCTGAATTGGCAGATAGAGGCAATGATAGTTCCAATGAGTAACCAAGAATCATGAAGAACAGACTGGCTTGTAGTTTTAGCAAAAAATGAATACATGACCACGAAAATGAGAGAGAAAAAAGTAGGTGCTAAGAAAGTAAATTACACAGCCATACAAACAAGAGTAGTTTGCAGCATTCAGGACATGGGTATATACTGATTTTTCTATCAGTCATTTAAAAAAAGAAACCGATAAATAGGCCACATTCCTAACCTTGTCTAATTCGAAATTGTTAGATAGCAGTCTCTTAATGCCACTTCCATCAAAGTTGTTCTCACTGTGAGCAACAATTACAGGCTGCTCTTTAAGATGTTGAGCCACACTCTCCGCTACTTTCTTAAACTCAACCAAAAATTCCTCTTGAGCAATGGGTGGCTCATGAACACCACCAAAGGATTGTAATGCCGGTTCCACAATGTTGCTTCTAACCTACACAATGAAAGAGCCCCATAAAGTGAAGAGATGTGAAAATGTCGAAATTACCTGGGGTGACCCACAGGTATGGCAGAGTCATCAACCCGCATTCAACAAAAAATCCATCATTTATCATTATAAAGACAGATTTCTCCTGTTTGATGAAAAACCATTACCTTCTAATAAGCAGCATAAATGTCTTTTGTTCTCTGTTTGTCACATAAAATAACGTCTAATAGCAATAGGAGGGGGACTCATGTTCAAATTAAAAATAGAGCCCCTAATTGGTGTACTTCCCACACCCAACCATGAATTGACAACAACTGAAATACAACCCTACTGAAAGAATTACCCAAGTATCTGCAGCAGGAGGCATCCCCTGGTCGACAGTGAGCTTCTCAAAAGCCTTGACAAAGTAATCTTGAAGGGATCCATCAGGCAGCTCAATCTCTAAGAATATGGAAACCATCTCTGGCTCAAAAATTGGGCACTTAATAAACTCGAGAAGGTCTTCCCCATCAATGCGGAGAATCACAACAGGATCTCGCTTCAAACCAGCAGCCATGCCTAGTAGAATATCCGAAAGAACGCCTTTAAACTCAGTCTTGCTTACTTTTTCTTGTTTTCCATGAGTGAATTCATTAAGAACCTATAACATGTCACAATAAGTACATTTCTGATAAAACTAATGAAAAGAAAAAGCAATTAGGTGAAAATTTGTTTGCCCAAGGCTATGCTAAAAATATGGTACATTTACCTGCCGGGAACGGAAGAAAACATCAACTTCTTCGGATTTTTACCAGCTGATTGAGTTTTAACATCATACATCAAACACTAAAAAGTCACTGATTTCTTGGACAGGCTAAAGCCCAGCGGTATAAGCTTACTGACAAAAAGGATATAACATGGCAAAAAAAGGGGAATTATAACCCAAAAAACATTAAGCACCATCGTTTTGTGAACAAATCTTATTTTCCAACCCCATCCTTGATTTTTTTTTTTTACATTCTAATATCTCAATCTCGTCCTAGATGAATGTTTATTAATCACTCTATTATCTTTAACCGATGGATTTTGTCAGCCATAAATTTGCTTTCAGGGTTTCAACCCCCATTGAAATTTGGTAGGCCCAAGAATACCACTATGGTCTTGAATCCACCTAACTGTTAGGCATTAAAGGAATGCTTTCTTTGTTTGTGAGGTGCCTAATTAAAAACTAGGTCGGTATTTTTTGTTGCATCTACTGTAAAATTATTTATTTCTTTTCTTCAAAAGGAAGTACATGAACACGAGAGATCATAAGTAAACAAAATGACACAACCTTATAGATACCCTTGTGCACAACTGCGTTGTGCTGTTGTAAAAAGATGCTCTGTCCCCACTCCAATTATATATGCCCTGGCAATAGAGGCTCCACTAAGCACATTTTTTCTAGGCAACTTCTGAAATAATGAGGCTGCCAACTTTGATCCACATTTTCATAAATCATTCATGCAAAGAAAATGGTTGAAATCATATAGCTTCTTGTTTCAAGAAGATAAGAGACAGCAACACAAAAGAGAGAGAAAAAAAGTGAAAGCAGAGGCAAGCTAAGGCCCACAAGACCGACTTGGTTAGATCATTGGTGTTGGTTGTTTCTCGAGCTAGGTAGATACAAAAGCAGACGCATCTACATCCTTAAGTTTGAAGTCAGAACAATGAAGTCACATAGGAAAAAGGATAAAAAAACTAAAAGCTAGGAGCAATAAAAAAATGAAATAACTTATTGTGAAGTGCACTCAGTTCTAGATCTTGAAACTTCTACCACAAACCTAATTAATATTGCTAGATACTTCTAGGATAGCAAATACAAACATATCTATATATCTTGAAACTTGAAAAGTCAAACAAAACATCTCATATAGACAAATAGTAACCTACACCTCGAAATGCTTATTTTTGTGGCTGTAATTGCACTTCATAAAATTATCTTCTACTAGATACCCACAACTATCAGAAAGCTACACAGAACCATTAATATCTAACAATTCATGTATTACAAATCAACCACCAGGGTATGGCCAGTGACACCATCTCTAAGCTCAGCAAAAATGAAAAACCAAATATAAAGCATGATGACACCACCATTATAATTTAGTACCCATTTACTTGATAATATTGCAGGCTTGCAGCAATAATAAACACTTATCTTATCGAAAAACTACTCGAAAAAGAATTAGCAAGGAGTATGGTTCTTTTTGGTTTGTCATTACATTATCCATACCAAAGTCTGTATAGCATTTTTCTTGGTGTTAAACATCTTGAAGGGCATAACTACACATCGCTAACAAACAAGGAAAAAACAAAACTAAATTAAACGAGAACACTCGCACTAATTCATTACATTATACGACTTATGATGATGCCACCATCTTCCTAATTTATTGGCAATGTTCTAGCTTGTACCCATTGATCTATAAGATGTGAGGGCTTTCTGGATCATGCACACTCCACCTTCCTAATCCATTACTGGACATTTAATTCCAAAAAAAAAAACAAATTGGAATTAAAAAGAAAAAAAGGGTAAATTAGCTTGTATATTTACACACTAATATTTCAGCAATAACAATAAATTTTCTTATCAAAAAACAATTTGAGAAAATATTTGGTAGGGAGAACACCCACATAAGTCCATTATACTATCCTCAGTACTACAACAAACACCCCTAGTCCGCCTATCTTGAACGTGCATACAAGAATGTAAATGTATCAATATTTGTGTAACTGTGGTCGTCTATGTGTTTCTATTGAGTCGCCAATACACAACTGTATGGATAGAAATCGCTACGGGATTTCAACCTCCGATCGAAGGATTCTGACTGACCTGCGGCACCGAGTCCCAGTAACCTTTACCTCTCTTCGACCAACAGACTTTTTAGCTAAGGTAATTTCACATCAAAAGAGAATCGTCTTTTCTCCTCGCATATAAGTTCTTGCACTCAAAGGAGGGGTAAAATGCTAGTGGGTAGCTCCTCGTTTGAGTGCAAGGGATTATATGCGAGGGAAAGACTCTGTTCCCACGTGAAATTATCTTAACCTAAAGGGTCATGTTGGCCGAACAGATATAAAGGCTACTGGGCTCGGTGAATCGGAATCCTTTGAGAGGAGGACTAAAATTCGTAGCGATTTCTACCTTTACAACAATATTATGTTCATACACACAACACACAAACACAGTTTACATGCATACAACAATACAAAACAAATACGTATAAAAGGAAAGATTACGAACTTCGGAATAGATATGATCAGAATCGGGAGAAGAGCCGCGAGCAGGCAAACCCAGAGCAGCACCAATATCAGCCACAGCAGGCTGTAACTCGCTCACCGAAAGCTTACCGTCACAGTCTGTGTCCAGTTCTTGGAACTTATGATCCACAAAGTTACTAAAAACTTGCTCATTCCCAACCAACTCCATTATATCTGAACCGTCCATCACCTGACCCCCTCCACTTTTCGTCGTCCCAATGCCCTTCCCCTCCATTCACACCACCTTTTCCTTTATCGCGAAACCTCTCTTGGCATGAGTCTCGTGAATTAGAGTACCTTTTGGCTTAAACGAACACAGATAGAGAGAGAGACGAATGCCGTTTTGGCTCGTGCTGAGAAAATATTCAGTGTAACCGACTTCGTGATTATGTTATGGAATATACTATTTATAAAGAAAAACGTTACTTTCACAAAAAAATATTGATATATTTTTGTTAATTTTTTTATTATAATCATTCAATAAATATTAAAACTCAGAGTTAAATTAATAATAATAATAATTTTAAGAGTTAATAAATATTATTAATATTTTTATGCTCATTTATAAGTATTTTATTGATCTAGTGGACCCTAATTAATACAGGAATTTATTATTAATATAATAATAAAATTAATACATTAAGTCTAAATAATATTGTTCATATATAAAAATGATGTTATTAAATTATGTAGGGACCCACTAATTAATTTATTATTTTTTTATTAAATGATGATACTATAACATAGTATTACCGTTATATTGAATATTTACTCCTAATTGAGTACATATTATAACCAACCAATAACATAAAGGAAAATAAGTGAATTAATTTTATATATTAGGTATTGAATGTAAAATTTATTAGTGACTATAAAATTTAATGGGATCTATTAATCATACATATTTATACATAAATAATTGATGACATTATATGATATTAATAACGTCATATCATATTTAATATAATAAAATTAAACTAAGATAGTATTATAATATATATATACTAGTCATAACCCGCGTTTGAAAACACAAAAAAATATAAAATTCGAACGTTTAAAAAATTGATTTCATTATATTAATTTTTTAAAAAATATTAACTATAAATTAATCAAATATTAAATAATTAAATATATGATAGAAATAAGTGATGTGATATTTTTAGGAAAGAAATATATAAATGATTAAACATATGACAGAAATAAGTGATGTGATATGACGTTTGAGTCTGACAAAGGGATAATGGATGAAGTAAGTGATTGATGATAGTTTTAAGGAAAAAATATGATTAAAATAAAATTTAACCACACTATTATTTTATTATATAATATAATATATATATATATATATATATATTTTTTCTTGTGGTGGGGAAAGATAAAGTTTTGGCCACGAAGGGATGTGTGGTTAGGACACGTGGGGCGGTTCGGGGAGAAAAGTAAAAGAGATTTGACGTTCCTTTTTGGAACTTCTACTTAGGTTGGGCTCGTGAGGAAGTGACGCGTGGCCTTTTGGGCTAATCTGTACTTCGGAGTGCGTATAGCGCACGTAATTTGGTTCCGTGGCGGTTGGCTAAGGGAAAAGGGGGCAATGTCATTCGACAGATGCAAAGGGCTTTTAGGCTTGAGAGATAAAAGAAAAAGTGGGCTGTCAATTTATGCTGGGTCGACTGTGATTGTAATGGACTATCTGTTGGAAATTTATTAGTTTTCAGTGGTCGGTCCAATTTAAAAAAAAAAATGTCCAAAAGTCTAACAGATATTTTTTTTAGATATTAAAGGATGATTAAAGACATAAAAATTAATTTATTTTTAATAACATGATTAGCGAGATTGCAAAATGGACAGTGACATAGTACACTTGCGGTGCAATAGGACAATGACAATGAAATTTTACTGTCTAATTTTAATTTGAAGACGTAGAAACGGATCATTATGATATTGCACAATTACATCAGATAGTGACATAACATATTTGTGGTTTGCGAATAATTGATTTGTTGATTTTTTCCTATAGGGAAGAATTGTGCATCTTTCCATTCTCTCTCTTTCTATGATTTTGTTCATCTAAGTTTTGAATGTTTTACAGCAAATTTAACAGATGAAAAAAGTGATATATTCTTAGAATTAACAAAGAGCCATTGCGATTTTTAAAGACACTGTGACGTTTGAGTTTCATACAATCCAGTTAATGAGGTGCATGCAGATTCAACTCTAACCTATGCAATAAAAAGTTGATTGGGGCATAATCAAAACCAACGGAAAAAAAAAACTACAGCGGAATTCTTGAACAAATGTGTAAACGAATACTATTCTTGAACACCAATAAATTCTTTGTGGCCGCTGCATTCTTCAATATAGAAGACTATATATGTTACCAGCACTTCACTTTCCGAAGTTCAAATCGACGCCATTTGTGAATGGTACTGCTAGAGGCATGGTGACAAAGTCTAGATTTGTCATGTATAAGGTTTGCTTCCTGGACCGCACTGTCGAAGATACAACTGAGACCAATACTATTTTTAAAGGTCTTGTTAATTTGAACAATGTTGTTGTTTGTCTTAACTGAACCATTATTAGTCACAAATCACCTTCCTTGATTCTTTATATATGGGACTATACTTTAGTCATATGATGTTACATGTATATAGAGAAAGCCAGCTTAATTTCACTATACATCAATAACCTTCAAAAAGACAAACCACGAGACACAAGTATGATTTTTCCTTCAAAAAATGTAGACAATCGCGTAATAAAGTTGTCATGTTTGGGAGGAGAGTTCCTTATCATGAAATAAGAGCATCACCTATTATTTCGTATGTTATAAGGAATGCAGCTAAAGTAGTACAAAATTATTTATACTACTTTAAGATACCAGCATACATGAAAAATATTTTTTTTCACTTTTGCCCTCTAAAACTACAACTATATCATCCCTATCCTTCAAAATTAATGTCACACTAATTTTATCTTTCTCTTCTATCTTCAAACAATTATATAAAGACAATTATATCATATTTTTTAATTTAACTCTTAAACCATTCCTATTCTAGGAATAAATAAATATATATATTGAATTCTAAATATCAATTATCCTTCAAAATTTTGATTTTCTTTTTTATCCTTAAATAATATAATTAGGTCATTTTTATCCATATTTTATATTCATTGAATATCATAGTCTTTGTGTCTTCCCTCTGTTACAAAGCATGAAAAGAAAAACTCTTAATTCTAGCCATAAATTATCACTTCTTCCGTATTCTCTTTCCTTCCACTAGTTTTTAATTATTCCTATAATGGCTATCATATCATTTGTGCCTTTTAATATTCTTTTGTGATAAAACTATTGCTCTAAACTTAATTATGTGAATGAATAGATGATTAACACTAATACTAAGACAGATCATTTTCGCTCCCATCCCAAGCCCCTCGTCTACCATTATTTTCTTTGGTTCTCATTGCCGGAATTTTACGTTTGTCTTTCTAAATAGCCAAATCTTTATCGAAAATGAACAAGACAATCTTTCTATCATCCTCAATAATTATGGTCTAACCCATTAATCAACATCATTCCTATGCAAGATAGTTTTTGAGATCTTCAAAAGAAAGCAGCAGAGAGAGTCCAAATTGGTATGTACTTTGCAACATTGTGGGGATTTGATGCAATCTTGAATATATGCATAACAAAAATGTTAGGAATTCTTTTCCCATGTTCCATGATTAACATTAACTCTTTTTCTAACATTGGTTCTCTCATCATACTCATTTCATGGGCTGCAAGGATCGTAGAAGCACCAAATTAAGACTAATATTAAGTTATAAAACACCTTTTTCCCTGTAAAAATGTTGGGTTTAATATTTTTAGCATTTTTACTTCTAGATTTGTTTTATGTTGATATTTTTTATGATTTTGGTTTGATCTATTAAGAATTTCTATGATCTTGACCTATTTTATTTTTAAGCTGAATTTGGTGTGTTATATTGATGTTTTTGTCTTTTTCTAAGTTTGGCATATACGATTAGGCATTTAGCAGCGATGGTGAGTATGCTTCCGGTGTACTGGTTTCAATGTTCCTCTATGGACAGTTTCATATAAAAAAATCCATAGATCATAAAAAATTTTAAAAAGTCATTTTCGGCCTTTAATTGCATAATTTATTTTGCAAATTTTTAGAATACAATTTGTGTCAACCCTATTCAATTACTTAAGTTAATGGTTTTTACGTTGTTTGAAATTTCTTACAAAATGGTTGTGCTGGATTTTGGATTGTGAAGCTCAAATTATGTTATTGTCATAATTTTTATTGACAAGTTTCTTAACTTCTTATGAGTTTCTATACCAAATATACAAGTTTTTTAACTTTTGATGAGTTTCTGCATTAAATACCTACGAGCAAAAATCTCCATAATCAATTATTTTAAATTAAAGTTTTATTAGTTTCTCACCTAAAAAACCATTACATTATATATATCTAGTGAATAAAAACTCTATACCATAACCTCTAGTGAATACTTTTTATGTAAGTCATTAAATCATGATTTAACGATCACCACTCAATGAAGTCTAAAATTAAATGTTAAAACCTATCAAATATGCCTATTGACTAAATTGGAAATATAATAACATATTAATTGTAATTCTTCACCTATTAGGAAAGTATATTTCAATTGAAATTAAATCTATAGAAAATATATTTTTAGTCGTATAAAATCTGATTAGATGGGTCAACCCTACGTTTCAAACTGATTATTATTGATTTTTATGACCCATATTATTTATTATATGCTTTTAGATTATGGATCTAATCTGAACATACTTGTAAATGTGTTGCTTCAGATTCTCTCCACTCTGAGTTTTTAATCGTTTTCTATTTTATTAATAGTACCAAAATTCATACCCAGTTTTCATGCACAAAAGACACGTCCCACACATATGTGAATGAAATAAACTCAAGCTACCACCACCTAAAGTCATTGAATAGTTTTATTGATCAATGGATTGTTTAGTTGGTTAAATATGTTAGAAAGCTCCAATTAAACGATGTATTAGTTAATGTAAGTTAACAATTGATTATTAAAATTTGACGAGCCCAAATCTAATAAGGCAAGGCCCAATAAATCTAGTAAGTCCAAGTCAACTAAAAGACATGTCAAGTCCAGTTCATGAATCCAACCTAGCCCAAGTTCTAAGGAGTCTAAGAAGAATTAAAGCACACAAGGAGTAATTATTGGGATACTCACCCTCAAATATCAAGACAACCTTTTATGACACTTATCTCTTGTAACGACCCGGAGAATTAGTACTTTTGCTCTCACATCACCGTCTTAACCAATACTCTATGCTTATAAATTATAAACTCTCTCTATATGAGATGAGACAATTTTACACCTTTGGAGACACTTCTGAATACCTATTAAAATCTCTCTACACCTCTCTATACATACATAGTTTTCTCTTTCCTATCTATTGTATCCCTCTTGGAGTTAACCATTGCTCTCTCTCGTTTACCTTATTACTTCATCAGTAAAGATCCCCTCGCCACCATTGCCATTTTCTAGAGTGGAGTAGGTTACCCGAATCGAACCACTATGTATCTGTGTGTTGACCCGATACTTATACTATTGTCATTGATTGCTCTATTAATTGTCCATTAATTACACCTTATCATACGCTCGACTATTGATCTAACACGAGACTATTTTGTGCAACATCAAAATTTGTGGTGGTGTGGCACTTTTGATCTGTATGTTAAGCACATTAATTATTTCAACTTGATTATATGATTATTTTGAGTTTTAGGCATTGGATTTGTGATAATTTATTTACTAGTAGCTAATCTATTCATGTTTTTGGCTAATTGCATTTCAAAAGGTTTAATATATCTTCCTAATAATAGGAGTAAAAATTACCAATAATATGCCATTGAAATTTCCAATTTAGTTGATAGACATATTTGGTAGGTTTTAGCTTTTAATCTTAGGCTTCATTGGGTGGTGACCGTTAGATCATGATCTAACGGCTCACATAAAAAGTATCCATTAGAAGTTATGGTATAGAATTTTCATGATCGCGCTACTCTGTGTGTGTGTGTGTGTATATATAATATATATTTATTTATTTATATGTGTGTGTGTGTACAACACTGCTAAAACAAATTAACAAAATAATTATGTTGCTTATAGTGTTTGAAAAGTGAGAATTGACTAATTCTTCAATTAACTAAAAGTAATTATGAGTTCAAACATCTCTTAAGATTACAAGTTTTAGGTAGAGTGCCTCTATTAATTCCTTTGTATTAAAATAATATATGTGTACCAATAAATGCTCATTGCCTCTTATTTCAAATATACGAAAAAAATAATGAATAGTTAAAATACATGTGTTTTAAGTGTAAAAAGATTGACAAGAGTTGGTTTCCTACTGATATGAAATGTAAAGTTGATTAGTTGTTTTTGAAAGTATTTCACAATTTTAATACATAAAATAGTTCATATACAACAGATGTGTGCACCCACTAATAAAAGAAAAAAAAATACTTCAACACTTAAGCTATTCTTTTTCCAAAGAAGGGTTACCACATACACAAGAACTCTTGAAAGAAAAGGCCCCATTATTTTGATTCCAATTAAGGTTCTTCGAGATTACAACTCAAATAAAATAAATTTAAGTAAAGTGAAACAAACAACACCACTACCCAATGCAATGCATCGTATGCGAAAAGAATCTAATTTATATTAAAAATTATGTAATATTCTATAAAAATAAATGACACTTGATACTTTTTTTGTGATGACAAATCCCTCTTTGCATCTTCATTTTAAGGAAAGGAAAGAATTGAGTTGGAACTACATCAAAAGTGTGCGTGCAGGAGCTTGCACAATATACACACAAGAACATATCTCTCCCGTGGTGAACACGAGTCAGTCAATCAAACAGTCAGCCTTGTTGTTTGGAACAGTGTGAGATCCGGTGGTAGCTCTGGAACGGTAATGAGTGACTTTTGTGGGTTATCGGAGCGGTCCAGTAAGGCTGAGGGAGGTTCCTGAAACCGAGAAAAACGAGTTAGGAGAGCGCCAGAGTGTTTTTCGACGTATCCCCTCCGACGATTAAGTTAGTTATTTGAGAGAGAGGAAGAAGAAAACATTGTGTATAAGTTTGAGAAAAGATTTTTTGCGTACCGTCTTATCTTTTGTGAGGAGTATTTATACCTTCAAAACTCATGATTGCTGTCAGTGTGGTCAGTAGGTAATCATTAGAGATGGGTAACGTGCATACTGGTCTTCAAGAGAAAATGACCTCTTTCTTAACTGCTTGGGATCCCGAGCAATCAATGCATCACCCTCAGTCTGTCGAATGTTTAATGACCCTCACTCGGCAGGGATGTATTAAATGCTTAGTTACAGGAGCATTTATTACCTTTCACTTCCTCGTCATTACGCGTTAAATGTTGTCTCATAAAGGAAAATGTGCATTAAATACTTGCTTTCCCAAGTCGTGTGTCAGCAAGGGCGTTCTGGTCTTTTTGTCCTTGAACTGACACAGTATGCCACGCGCCGGCTCCCCTTTGGTTGAGTCCTCTGTTTTCCTGTGCGTTCTGACACCATCCAGGTAGGATCAGGTCATGATGACTAATCTAGACTAGCCTAGACTGATGTCCTGTCTATCAACAACCTTGCAGGAACAGAACACCAATGTAGTGGATACACCTCGGTGCCGAGGGCCTAGTACGGTTAGGGGCTAACGTACCCCCTATTCGACCGAGAAACACGTGTCGAACCCCCCATGCATACCGGCGTCGTAGGTCTTTATGCCTAGTACCCTCCTCGGGGGAAGGGAGATCATGGCCTGACGAGCACGTGTCGTGATCACAGCAGAGAGTATTTTTCTTGACGCCGAATACACGTGTTGCTTATCTTGGAGTGTCTGAAAATGTCCCATCAAAAAGAAAATTATAACACAAAAAAATTAAAAAAAAAGAATTTTGCTAAAAACTTACATTGATAATTAGATATTCAATTTAGCCCTCTCTTTATTAGTTTTTTTTTTAATTTTCATCTTTTTTATTTATAATTATTATTTATACACTTAATTATGAGTTTTGGGTGTTCTCGTTGGAACACAAAGGCATATTCGTTGCTTTTGGATACATTGACCCGAAAATTCAGTATGGTTCTTGCACAGTTTTTCTTTTTTACCGTTACAAATCAATTGTTTTAATGTAGGCATCCCTCTTTCATTTGTCTCGACCGTTTAAACGAGTGACGAATGAAAAACATGTAAATCCGTACACGACACGTTTAATAAACAAGTAAAAAATCTAAACACGAACACACAAACCGTTAAATAAACGGGTAACACGACATGACTCGTTTAACCCGTTTAATTTTATTAAAATTTTAATCCGCAACAAAAAAAACAATCCTATTAAAATTTTAAACTCCATTAATTATACATACCAATTGTACTCTCTTAATCAAAAAAATTTCAGCTGGCTGCCACTTGCAAAAGCAAATGAAAAGGTTTAATAACTAAAAAAAGAGGTTGTATCATTTTATAAACATAAGAGGTCTTCGTCATTTGAATTTATCGACATAGGATTCAAGCCAAAAACTTTCATCGTAAGTTCAATGTCTAAAAACCCACAAACTGGCTGTAAACCCACCCCAGGGCTTCGTGGCTGCCAAGGATCCTTCATTGTCTATAAACCCACCCAAAGCTTCGTGTGTTCAGTGTCTCCTTCATTTCTCCACACAGACATCCAACACAGGGTTAAAATCAAAGACTCAATTCTATCCACTGTGCACAACAACACACACGGATAGCAATTCCATTGATCAGCACCATCTTCTTCTGTATGTGCTTTAATGGATTCTTCTGATGTGCAATCATCATCCTCGAAAGAATCACCGATCTGTGAAAAAAAGGAGGGGATAAGTGAGTAAAGGAGGGGGAAGAATCGAGAATCATCAATTATCTTCTGATGTGCGGTCTGTATTTAATTTTTTTGAAGATTTGTTTTACTCATTTACCATATATATATATATTTATATATAATATTTTAATTTTGACTAATTTTTTAAAAATAATTATTAATTTATTATTATATAATTTTTTTTAAATGAGTAAACGGGTTGATAAGTCTCACTTGAATACGACCCGTTTATTAAACATACCTGACGGGTTAACCCGTTTATCATTCAAATCCGTTAAAAACTTACTTAAATCCGTTTAATCCGCGTCGATTAATCGTGTCGTGTCGTATTTTGAGATGCCTAATGACAATAATCAAATTAGTAATAATAGTCAAAACAAATGAAAAATAAATAGAGTCAAAAAACATGGAAAATAAATAATAATACTATTAAAAATTAATTTAGTAATTTAATTAGAACTCGTTTGATAACGTTTACGATTTTTTATTTTTTAAAAAATGAAAAACATAATCAAAAAACAAAAAACATATTTTTTTCGTTTTTAAAAATCACCTTTCGTTTACAAAATGATGACTGAAAAAAAAAATGATCATCAAACAAATTTTTTTTTCTTGTTTTCTCTAAACATTAAAATAAAAATAAAAAATGAAAAACATAAATATTAACGAACGAGACGAAAGTTAATGAATTTCAATGGTAGAATTGACAATACAACCAATTTAATATTGACACTCATTATTAAAGTAACCACAGTTCAAATTAAATCCACATAACGGTACTCAAAATAAATTATAAAGCCACGTCATCAACTCATCGAATAAATAACGCCAGTGTTGTTCCTTCCGTCACTTCATAACCGCCTCTTCTTCATCCTCTAATCCTCAGAGCACACTCTCACTCTCTCCTCTCTCCTAATCTTTCATGGACGTGAGCTTCTCTGCGAAGTGTCAAGCTCTGTCTTTAATATCTTGCGCTCCTCTCTATTCATTCCTCTCTCCTCGTGGTGTTCGATCCCTCCGTAGAGAGTTTCTTGGGTGCGGACACAGTTTGAGGCCTCCGGGTCTTCGCTCCCCAAGAAAATGCAAGAAACTAGGGTTTCACATTCATTCGCCAAGATTTTTTTTCAGAGCCTCTTTGGATTCGCAATCCGTTCTCGTCGTTGTCACTGTGGTCATGGTTTCGGCTCTTACTGTTGTCTATCTGAGTCACTCAAAAAGACACAACATAACAGAGGTAACTGATTGTTGGACTCTCTCTCTCTCTCTCTCTCTCTCTCTCTCTCAGTCTCTCTTTATACACACACACACACACATTGGAATTGAGATATCTATTTACTTATGCATGATTTGATGTATGTAAGACAGAGATTGTTGTATTCCTTTGCGAATTCGTAAGTATACATATATACACACACACATTGGAAATTGAGATATCTTTTTACTTATGCATGATATGATGTAAGTTAGACAGAGATAGCTAATTTGTATTCCTTTGCGGATTCATATTTTACAAGTCACGAACAGAGAATAGACAAAGATGGATCTTGTTGTTTTTCTAATCCGTCAGATGTCTCTTTGTTAAGTGTGGGTGTTTTTGTGGAATAAAGAGTTGAGATTCACTAAACTAGGTGGAATGTTGGAATTAAATTGAATTTTGCCATTTCGGAAGAAAAAAGATTTGAAAGTTGCTATACTTATTCCTGAATATTTTGTAATAAAAAAATTCTGAGTTTAGAATATTATTGAGGCTAATAAAAAGATTGCAATCTTGCCAAGGTCACCTTGACTCAACTAAGTACAACATTGACCTTAGTGTTTGTATTTCTTTAACTCTGAGATACCGAATAGCAACCTAGATTTGTTAGGGAGGGTTCTAGTCCCAAAATACAAGTAGAGGGGGTCTAATCAGTTTGAGTCTTTTTTGTCCTCGAACCAGCTTCCCAATGCTTATTCAATATTACAGGTATCAGATCAGCTGATGCGTGCATTATCCCATCGGATCAGATGTTTGATGAACTGGGCCAGTGAGGATCGGAGCTTGGGCCCTTTAGATCTTTGGGGAGAGAAATTTGCAAATAACCATAAAGATTTGATGAAGGAAACGAAAGAAAGCAGTCGTGATTTTGAGGATAATGTGGCCCAACTTCAATCCATGAACAATGGTTTGCTGAATGAGGAAACTCTCATCACCACCACACTAGACTCTCCTGATTCAGGTGCAGGTGCAGTACCATTGACTTTTACCACAGAAATGTGTGAAAGAGTGGAAACTGAGATCAGCTCCGAGTTGCCTACAGTAATGGTTAAAACTGGGTTGATTGCCTCTTCTAGTCCTGTGAATAGTGTATTGTCTGAACTTAATGAACTTGAAAAGCCAAACCATGAGCTTGTTGAAGATAGTCAAAGTAGTAGCTATATTGGCATTTCTAGGGCTTCTGTCCGTAAAGAGCTCTACACATTTTATGAGACAGATCAGCATCAGCCTCTAAGGAATTCTGTGGTAAACTTAAATGGCATGCAGACATTGTGTTCTCCTGGTTCCCTTCGAGATAATGACTGTTTTCCTTCATTGATGATAAGTTCCTCAACTGAAGGAGCAAAAGTTTCTGGGAAGGACATTCTCCATACTGCAGGTTGTATACTGGAAATTCTCTTAGAGTGTGATCTCCACTTACTGGTTTGATATAAATAATATGTTTTTTCCTCCAGAGAGCTTTGAAGGGAAAACACCACTTGGATGTTATAAAGAAGGTTCTTTCTGTAAAAGAAAAGACTTGGGAAAAGGACGAGAGTTTTACATTGATAAGGATAAAAGCATTCTGCATCAGAATGGCGACATGAATTTGTTCCCATCCGCTCATCCAAAGGCGAAACAAATCAATAACAGACATTTTTCACAGAAATCCAATGCTTTCAATCATTTTCTAAGGCAAGGGAGGTAATTTTCTTCATTCACACTATGCTTATGCAAATGTTGTGCTTGCCACCTTGATTAGAAGTCCCATGAAAGAGTTACAATTCTATCTTATCATAAGTTTGATCTGACATGAATGAAAACCAGAACTTTCTTGCTTTTGATGAGATTTAATGAACTCTTGTGAACTTACTGTTTACTTTTGTTTCATGCTAGTATTGTTTGGGCTTATTCTAAAATTTATCTTTGGTTCTAGGTTAACTGACTGCTTAGAATTGCTTGAAGACAGGGAAAGAAAAGGCTTGTTGGACATGGATAATGTAAGGCTATCACCTTTCACTTAGTATTCTGTAATGAATTGCTGTACTTTGTCATTGTTGGTTGTATGTGGAATACTATGGTCGCAGGTTTATCATGCTGGTTTTTTCCGTGCTTGTAAAAGTCAAAAGGCTGTTAAGGAAGCTTTTTGTTTCACCCAGCTTATTCCCAATCCAACTCTAAGCACATTCAACCTGCTTATGTCTGTTTGTGCATGCTCTCAAGATTCAGAGGGTAAATTCTTATTGTCTGGCTGTTGTTCATGGATAGTTGTTGGAATATGCCATCATTACCAATTGAAATACTTTGGAAATCTAATCTATCTGTGTGTATTTAGGAGCTTTCCAAGTTATGCAACTTGTACAGGAGGCTGGACTGAAAGCTGACTGCAAACTTTACACTACTCTTATATCAACTTGCGCTAAAAGTGGAAAAGTAGATACAATGTTTAAGGTATTTTAACTAACATTTAGTTTCTCATTGATGGTTGTCATTAATACGTAGGATTAATGACTCAGACTTCCTTGCTAGTTTTTGTGCATTTGTTCTTGTCAAATAATCCTGCTATTGTTCTATGGCACATCGACACTAGACAGTGCCTCACAATGTAATAAATTAATTAATTATTGGCCATTAGACATAAGTCTATTGCTAAACGTTGGCAAGCGTAATGTAATTAGTTTTTGAATAGAAATTTGGATTGTGATCTATAACTCGGCCCACGTTTTTCCTTTTTTACCCTTGTCCATAGTGGCATGGAACATTAACTTGGGATGGAAATTGTATTGTCCAAACTTTACTAGCAGTGGAAATGATGAGACAAAGCATGTGGAAGTGGTCCTTCTGAAGGCATTTGGTCATCCTAAGAAGACTAAATGTGAATTGTGAAACCACTGTAGTTGAGTCTGCTCATAAGTCAACTTAGTGTTATTTAAAGTAAAAAGCACACCAAGGCGTCAAGGTCTTCTGGTGCCTAAGCGTGAGGTGTGAGGCAAAGTGAGGTACAAGTTGTAGATAATATGTATTATATAATACGTCAAATATAACTTAATGCGAGAAATTTTAGGAACTTTCACCTAATACAACATATACAACTCATCTTTTTTCGATAAGTAACATATACAACTCATCTCACTAGTAGATGTCAATAATATGCTGCAAAGAAAGTTAATTCCAGCCAATTACAATACATACAACTCATTTTAGCTAATTCCGGCAAAACAGAACAAATTACACCAAGATTACTAGCAAAATTATTCAACCATCAACATCATATAAGCAAATTACTACATATCAACAATATTTTATAAAAGGATAACTAATTTAAGAATTACTAACATCTGTGACCAATTTCAATTTCATATTCATTAAAAAGCTATAAAAAGATTCATGAGTAAATTCAGATGGCAGAAGAGTTGGAGAGAGAGGGATATTAGAGCAAAGATAGAGAGGTGTATATCCTAGATACAAAAGGTCGATTTAACAATGTTAGCGGTTAATTGAACCAAAGAAAAGAAGCTTAATTTATGAAAAAAGAGGTCAATTTCAGTAAATAAAAGACTAATTTCAAAAAAATATGAATACAAATGGGATAGAGAAAAATAGATGTGAAGAGAGGGACGTAGAAAGAGAGAGGATGATGTAGATGAAAAAGAAAAAGACAAAGATTAACTCTACAAAGTAGATATTTAAACTTCAAGTTAGATTGGAACGGGAATATCGGGATTATAGAAACCCATGCATCCATCGATCCAGTGTTGCATGGTCCAAAATGAGGTGGATTTGCGACCTAGTTTGCCCAAATTAACCCTATCTCTAAATCGACCCATGATCGTGGTAATCCCAAAATTAACCTTAACTACTGTATTTTTTTTTCTTGGTTTTTAAGGTTACATTTAATTTTTTTGTGATCTTTTTTTTTCCATGACAGAGACGTGTATTCATTAACTTTTATAATCGACAAGAATTAGGCAGTACCGTATGACAAATACAAAATAAATACTAATTGACCATAAGTGCACTGTTGTGTTATGTAATTCATATAATAGTAAAAGTGATCGGGATAAGAGTTCCAAAGTGAACTAAGATCCCCCATCACAGTGCACATCGGAAAAAGGATCCTATAGGACACCCGTATCATGTGCCAAATGACCCACGATTCAGTACAAGTGATTTGAATGGATCTGCGAAGTACACATCTAAGTTTAGTGTTTGAATTCGTTATATATAAGTGGAAATGTAATCCAGTGTTATGCATTTTAAAGTCTTCAAACCAAAGTCGATATATCAATTGTTCAAAAAATAGCAATAAAAGGGAAAAACGTTCACGCCCATGTGCCTTGGGCATAAGCCCAACACAAGCATCTTGTTCGCCCAATAAAGTAGTCTCGTCTGAGGCTAAGGCACTTTTGGTGTGTCTCGATTCACCTCATGCCTAGACAACGGTCTAGACACACTTTTCACAACACTGAGACAACTTAAACTTTTTACTATGTTTGCCCTTTTTTTTTTGTTCAAAAACAAATGAGATTCTTAATTTCTGATTTGAAACAGTTTATGTGTCATCAAAGTCCTAGGCAGGATTCTTTTAATATTATGTTACCACTCCAGAGTGGATTGGTAGCTTGAGTTTTTTTGGTTCTTTTTCTGGAGGATATACAGTACACCTTTTTTTTTTGGGCCAAAAATTTAGATGGCATACGTGATGTATGGGCTTCCCAAACTTTTATGCTGAATACATGTTGACATTATGATGATTTTCATTTTTCATATATTCCCCACACACTACATCAGTTTTCCCTTTTGTTTCATGCATGCTCTCATACACTTTCCATTCTAACAAGTTGAGGAAATCTCTCCATAAAGTTACCTCATTGCTAGGATTCCATATGTAGTTTCTTTTGCAAAGGAGATTATTGAATACATTTGTAAGTTATGTGCTGCATTTGCATACTATGATGGTTATGTCGTCATCCTTTTCTATTTGAATGAAGTGTCCTTTTACATGTCTTCGAATGAGTATCATATTTCATTGAAGCTTTATTAAGTTGTAGGTTTTTCATGAAATGGTCAATGCTAAAGTGGAACCGAATGTTCACACATATGGTGCACTCATCGACGGATGTGCTAAAGCAGGGCAAGTTGCTAAGGCGTTTGGTGCTTATGGCATAATGAGATCAAAGGTAGTTGTTGAAGTATAAAAATTTAAATTATACCCTCTCTAATAGCTTAAGCTTTTAGAGTAGATGATTGTTCTCATGGTATCAGAGCAAGAGGTCATGTGTTCTAATATTTCCGCCACCCTAATTATTGGAGTAGATGAGTGTTTGTCAGTTTGATTGCACTTTGCAGTTTCTTTTGCTCTCTTTGAATTCAGCTTGCACTTGTTGTACGGCACGTGAGCTCCAAACATGGTTCTTGGCTTGTATTTTAGTTCTACTGGAGTTTTTTTTTCTGAAGTCTTCTTACTGATCACATGTTGCATGCAGTAGAATGTGAAGCCTGACCGAGTTGTATTCAATGCACTTATAACCGCATGTGGTCAATCAGGAGCCGTGGATAGGGCATTTGATGTGTTATCAGAAATGATGTCGGAGACACAACCCATAGAGCCCGATCATGTCACTGTTGGTGCTTTGATGAAAGCATGTGCAAATGCTGGCCAGGTGAGGTTTGTCCAGTTTAAACTTCAAAATCATTATCCACATTTCAAGTGCTATGTAGTTGCTTTCAGGTCCCCCATCTTCTTGAAGTTCTCATGGATTAACGAACAACACTGTATCACTTTAGGTTGACCGGGCACGAGAGGTATACAATATGATTCACCAATATAATATTAAGGGCACTCCAGAGGTATACACTATCGCTGTTAATAGTTTGCAGTCAGACTTGTGATTGGGAGTTTGCATGTGG